TTGGCAAAATGTTTCAGGGATGAGAATTCTTATCGTATAAAAACAGACAATTGCATGCATGATAGCATCTGTACACAATCTGACGCAAACAGGAGAGAGAAGTTTGAGGCTTTCATAAAGTCAACCTCAGCAACCCAGGAAGTTGCTTGAGAAAGCTGTTTACACAGGACACCCACAGAGTGAGTCAGGTTTCTCACTGAACAATGCGTTTAGTACTCATTTCTCTGCTGTGCTGTTCCATGCTAGAGATCTAACTAACCTGTTTTCCTTCTCTAACTGATCCTTCCTTTCATTGGCATCATTTAGAAGACTCTGGAGAAGTTGATTCTGATGACAAGAAAGAGACCTTGATCTCTTAGTTTTACAGCAAACGGTAGAAAGAAAAGAAATATTGCATCCAAAGAACAAACTGATAACTGAATTCCAAGGTTCAGTACCTGTTCTTCTTGTTCGCCTTCCTTTTGTTCTTTAAGCTTCATATTTTCATATTTCAGACGGAGAATTTGCTCCCTGTGATTAAAAACAGATCGATGTCAAGATGGAGTGGTTTTCACTCGTGTGTCAAAAGCAATTCACATTTATAGCTTTGGTTTTGCATTACTGCATTACATGATTGGCTTAAAAACATTGCGCCACTTTGCCATCCAATCAGAGGTACTAAAACCAATCGTTACTCGATTGCACATGTTTCCCGCGCTTCACGTCAGCAACCTGTATTTGCTTCAGGTTTTGATTGGTTCACTGGTTTGTCCTTGTCCATTGTGATTGGCTAGAGCAACAACTTTTGTTTTGGCTTTACAGCATTTGAAACTGCTGAAGCTCAGGGCATGTATTATGGTAACTACTTTCACTTATTGGCACAGGCATTCTTATTCTGTGAAATGTGCCTTACAAGTGAATACATGTAATTTGGATTTGTGCAAACAACACTGTTCAAGGATGCTCAAGCTAGAAACTTATCGGATTGGACTGGACTATTCACCATACAGTTTTTTAAGTGGAGGAATACAGCTGAGTTGAAGTGAAGAAAACAACTGTTTACTCAAGCTTAGGAAACACTTTCAGAATGTTGCATACTTCACTTCTGAAGACATGGAACTACCGAGATCAAAATCATCACCAGAAGGGGTACCAGGGGACAGTTGACGCATTGGAGACCCTGAAAATATATATACACATATAAATAACAAATGTATACAATGTATTTAACAAACTTAGTGGCAATAATATTGAAAGCAACCTTAGGGGATCATTAAACTCTAAGCCAAATGAAATATTGGTGGGTAGCTGCCATTAGGTAGCAGAAGAGGAGAACAGCAATCTGTTCTGCAGCAAGGAGTTCACCATGGCAGCCAAGACATTTAAATATACTTCCAACTGGATAAAATAAAGTTCCTTTTAAAATCACAAGGCAACTTCGACCTAGATGACAATACGATTCAAACTCCAGGGTATTGGTAAACATGTAAGACTTAAGCATTTCACTTTACAAGCTTGGCTAAATTCTTCGCAATTTGTTCTTTGGCAAAATATTTAACCACATGAAACTATAGTCGACTCGTGTGCATGTTCTAGTGGGTACTAGCAAATGTTTTGGCTGAAAAATTGTCACCTACTAAAAGACCGAAGAAAACCCTTTTCTCAGGGAGTACTCAGATATATTTGTCCATTAACTTTACTTTACATTGAGCAGGGAAACTAGAACAATCAAACAACCAAATGCACCAAATACAAACACAGTATAGAAAAGCAGAGTACCTGCCACTTGGGCCAGTTGAAGTTCCTCATTTTCCACCTTTAATCTGACTCTTTCTTGCCCCAGATGCTGTTTGAAAAAATAAAATAAAACAAATAAATAAATAAATAAATAAACTAATTAATTAATTGATAAATCATTTGATTAATAAAAACACCCCCTTCCGTTGTTACTAGTAATTACTAGGTACATGTACAATGTGCTGTATGTTTAAATAAAACAATTCTGAATCTCACACATGGGCATTATCAATATCCAGTGGAGAGGTTTTCTATTGAGAAAAAAAGAACTTACTTCATTTTCTCCATCTACGTTTGTGACTTTCTCTTTGGCCTTCCTTGCATCAAACTTTGCCTGTTTTTAAAGCCGAAAAAAAAATCAAATGAGTCAATTATTGACAAGTAAGGGTTACTCCTTTCTCATTTTTGATTAAATGATTGTGAAACACTCATAAGGTTTTCCAACTCTGCTGTGACACTACTTAACCACTACATATAGGAAGCAGAAAGGCTAGGCAGTGGATCTCTATCACCAGAGACTAGTATGTGTTCTCAAAACTTTACTGTGCAATATCCTGATAATTGTAAAGGTCAAGGCTCTTGTAGTTCGTATATTGTGATCGTCCGGGTGAGAGTAGTTCTGAAAAAGAACTGCTGTTGGTGACTGACTTTTCGACAACCTGAGCGGAAGTCATCTTCAGAGTCAAGTGCATAGTGTTTGTCAGTGGATGATGTTATAAGTCCTGTCTGTTGAACGTGATTGGTCAGTATAGCCATGATGGTATTGGCTGAAAGACTTGTGTGAAGTTTGCCATCAGTCATTGGTGGGTTTCGATCTGTCTATTGTTAGTCAAATAGGTTGGTTTTTGGTCCGTGTATTGTTAACTCGGTCTGTTAGAAGTCTGTTTGTCGGTTTCGTTTC